CTTCCACTCATCTACACACACCACTCTGACAGAATCACGCATCCTATCCATGGAATCAGCAGGAGCGACCGCGCCGACAGCCGAGATGGCTGAACGTCTTCGTGGCCAGGAGGACCGCATCAACCAGGTCTGTCATGCCCTGGAGGGGGTGATGAATACTCTGCACCGATGGGAGACCAGCGGGGTTCCCACACCTCCACGAACCGAACCAGCCCCATCGGTCAGCCCTCCTGTCTCATCTCCGGAACCTAGTGGGATTCGGCTCTCGCTCCCGAGGGCGTACGACGGCTCCACTGCCGGGTGTCAAGGGTTCCTGCTGCAGGTGGAGCTCTACCTCGCCACCGTACACCCGGCGCCCTCGGGACACGAGAGCGTCTCAGCCCTCATCTCCTGTCTCACCGGCAAGGCGTTGGAGTGGGCCAACGCCGAGTGGAGGAGAATGGACGCCGCTACCACGAACTATGCGGAGTTCTCCCGCCGCTTCCGTGCTGTGTTCGACCATCCACCAGAAGGGAAGGCGGCGGGGGAGCGTCTATTCTACCTCCGACAGGGGATGAGGAGCGCCCAGGACTTTGCCTTGGAGTTTCGGACCCTAGCGGCTGATGCAGGGTGGAATGAGCGGGCCCATATCGACCATTTCCGCTGCAGCCTCCGGGAGGACGTCCAGCGAGAGTTGGCGTGCAGGGACACTTCGTTGACTTTCGACCAGCTTGTCGACATGGCCATCCGGCTGGATACCCTGCTCGCCACCCGTGGACGTCCCGGGAGGGGGTTGCCCATTCCACTCTCCAGCACCTCCGAGCCGAGCCCTATGGAGCTCGGAGGTGCTGGCGCTAGGGAACGAAGGAGGAGGAGCCCGAGGGGACCCGGCCCTTGCACCAACTGTGGTCGTGGAGGGCACACCGCGGCTAGGTGTTGGGGCGGGTCCTCCAGTGAGGGAGAGGGCAGGTCACGCATTGGGGGGTCCACCCAGGTGAGTAGGCGCCCTGCTTACCCAGAGCTTTCTGTCGTGCACCTAACCTTGCCTGTTTGTTTCCCACAGGTTGCACCTCGTTCCCAGCATAAGGCGCTGGTAGATTCAGGCGCAGCTGGGAATTTTGTAGATCGCCAGTTCTGTATAGAGTTAGGGATTCCCCTCCTTCCAGTGGATAAGCCTTTCCCCGTCCATGCCCTAGATAGCCGTCCGTTAGGGTCTGGGTTGATTAGGGAGGTCACAGCACCCCTTCAGATGATGGCGCAGGAGGGTCATGAGGAGAGAATTCAGCTCTATCTGATTGACTCTCCTGCGTATCCGGTAGTGCTGGGTCTTCCCTGGTTGATGACTCATGACCCTATTATTAGGTGGCGAGAGAAAGCTCTTAAAGGGTGGTCTGCTCAATGTGAGGGGCGGTGTCTGGGTGTTTCCATAGGGGCGACCTCGGTGGAGAGTCCGAATCTAATGCCAGCACTGCAGATTCCCCCCGAGTATGAGGATTTGGCACTGGCGTTCAGTAAGACTCGGGCGGCGCAGCTGCCGCCTCATAGGCGGGGGGATTGTGCGATAGATCTCCAGTCAGGAGCAGCTCTCCCGCGGAGCCATGTGTATCCCTTGTCTCAAGAGGAGAGAAAGGCTATGGAGACGTACATCTCTGAGTCTCTTAGACAGGGATACATACGGGCCTCCGTTTCACCCGCTTCCTCAAGTTTCTTTTTTGTAAAGAAAAAGGATGGAGGTCTGCGCCCGTGTATTGATTACCGCGGTCTCAATCAGATCACAGTGAAGTACAGCTATCCACTTCCTCTGATTGCGACTATGACGGAGTCGCTGCACGGTGCGCAGTTCTTTACAAAATTGGATCTTAGGAGCGCATATAACTTGGTGCGCATTCGAGAGGGCGATGAATGGAAGACAGCGTTTAGCACGACTTCCGGACACTACGAGTATCTAGTCATGCCATATGGGTTGATGAATGCTCCCTCAGTCTTCCAATCCTTCGTCGATGAGATTTTCCGGGACATGCAGGGACAGGGAGTAGTGGTGTACATCGACGACATTCTGGTGTATAGTCCTACCCGTGCTGAGCATGTAGCCCTGGTGCGCCGAGTATTGAGGCGGCTGTTGGAGCATGACCTATATGTCAAGGCAGAGAAATGTCTGTTTTTCCAGAAGTCGGTCTCCTTTCTGGGTTACCAGTTGTCTGCGTCAGGGGTGAAGATGGAGGTAGACCGGGTGTCAGCTGTGCGTAATTGGCAGACCCCAACCACTGTGAAGGAGGTGCAACGGTTCTTGGGGTTTGCGAATTATTACCGGAGGTTTATCCGGGGTTTTGGACAGGTGGCAGCTCCCATAACGTCTCTGTTAAAGGGGGGTCCGGTGCGCTTGCGGTGGTCAGCTGAGGCGGACAGGGCATTTGGGAGACTGAAGGACCTGTTTACCTCGGCGCCGGTGTTGGCGCATCCGGATCCCTCTTTACCGTTCCAAGTAGAGGTGGACGTGTCAGAGGCCGGGATAGGGGCCGTTCTTTCCCAGCGTTCTGGCACTCCACCTAAACTCCGTCCCTGTGCGTTTTACAGTAAGAAGCTCAGTCCGGCGGAGCGGAATTATGACGTAGGAGACAGGGAGCTGTTAGCCGTGGTACAGGCCCTAAAGGTGTGGCGGCATTGGCTCGAGGGGGCTCAACACCCTTTCCTCATTCTAACTGACCATCGTAACCTGGAGTACATCCGGGCAGCTAGGAGACTGAATCCTCGCCAGGCTCGCTGGACTATGTTTCTAGCCCGGTTTGTGTTTAAAATCACATACATCCCTGGGTCCCAGAACGGGAAGGCAGATGCTCTGTCTCGGCGGTATGACGCAGAGGAGAGGTCAGTTGAGTCCACGCCCATACTACCGGAGTCTTGTCTGGTTGCTCCGGTGGTGTGGGAGGTTGATGGTGAGATCGAGCGGGCGTTACGCACCGACCCGAGTCCTCCACAGTGTCCTGTGGGTCGGACGTACGTTCCGCTCGAGGTACGCGATCGCCTCATTTGTTGGGCTCATACGTCCCCCTCCTCTGGCCATCCGGGTATCGGCCGGACAGTGCACTGCCTTAGCACGAAGTACTGGTGGCCAACGTTAGCTAGGGATGTGAGGATTTATGTCTCCTCCTGTTCGGTGTGTGCCCAGTGTAAGGCGCCCAGACATTTGCCCAGGGGTAAGTTACAACCCCTGCCTATTCCACAACGACCCTGGTCCCACCTCTCGGTGGATTTTGTTACCGACCTTCCCCCCTCACAGGGGAATACTACCATCCTGGTCGTTGTGGATCGGTTCTCTAAGGCCTGTCGTCTCCTTCCCATGCCGGGTCTACCCACTGCCCTACAGACCGCAGAGGCTCTGTTCACCCATGTCTTCCGGCATTACGGGGTACCCGAGGATATAGTGTCTGACCGAGGTCCCCAGTTCACCTCTAGAGTGTGGAGAGCATTTATGGAACGGTTGGGGGTTTCGGTAAGCCTTACCTCGGGTTACCACCCGGAGAGTAATGGGCAGGTTGAACGTGTCAACCAGGATGTGGGTAGGTTTCTGAGGTCATACTGTCAGGGCCGGCCGGAGGAGTGGGCGAGATATGTGCCCTGGGCCGAGATGGCACAGAACTCTCTTCGCCACTCCTCCACCCAACTAACCCCTTTTCAGTGTGTATTAGGGTACCAGCCGGTTCTGGCACCATGGCATGAGAGCCAGATCGAGGCCCCCGCTGTGGATGAGTGGGTGCGGCGCTCGGAGGAGACGTGGGACGCTGCACACGTCCATCTGCAGCGTGCCATACGTCGACAGAAGACGAGCGCCGACCTACACCGCAGTGAGGGGCCAGTATACGCACCTGGAGATCGAGTCTGGCTCTCAACCAGAAACCTGCCCCTCCGCCTGCCCTGCCGGAAGCTGGGTCGGCGGTTTGTGGGGCCATTTAAAGTCCTGAGGAGATTGAACGAGGTGAGTTATAGGTTAGAACTACCTGTTGATTACAAAAATATTAACCCCTCGTTCCATGTGTCTCTCCTCAGGCCGGTGGTAGCTGGTCCACTCCAGGACTTTGAGATTGAGGAGACTCCTCCGCCCCCGTTGGACATCGAGGGGGCTCCGGCGTACACCGTGAGGTCCATCCTGGATTCTAGACGCCGGATGGGGGGTCTTCAATATCTCGTGGAGTGGGAGGGGTACGGTCCGGAGGAGCGGTGCTGGGTGCCAAGGAGGGACGTATTGGACCAGTCCCTACTGACCGATTTCCATCGGGGTCATCCTGCGCGCCCTGCTCCGCGTCGTCCGGGTCGTCCCCGAGCTCCGGGTCGGCGCACGGCTGGAGCCGCGCGTCAAGGGGGGGGTACTGTCACGGTTTCGGCCGAGGCTGCTCCTCTTCCTTGTTCGGGCAGGCTTCGGCGGTCGTCGTCTCCGGAGTACTAGCTGCCACCGTTCTATGTTTCATGTTCATTTGGTTTTGTCTGTTCATAACACCTGTCCCTTATTTGTGTCTTAATTGTTTGCGCCACCCGGTTGGGTAGGCGACTATTTTTGTTCACGTGTTGAACAGTACTATAAAAGACGGTTGTAGTCATCCTGGTTCCTGCGCTTGATTCCTTCCACTCATCTACACACACCACTCTGACACTGACCCTAACCATGACCCTGGCTGCATGGAGTGCACTACTTTCCTCTGGTCAAACGTAATGCACGCTATAGGGACTAGGGTGCCATTTTGGATGCAACCCCTGACCCATATCTCTGAACCACAACCAAAAACTGAAGTCTATAAAATGTGGTAGTAATCTGTAGTTGATCCAAATGAAACAACACTATTCATTTAGATGGATCTCTACCCCACAAGTGCAAAACAAAGGCAGATCGCATTCCAATTTCCACACCACTAAATCCAATGTGATGTGATGGTGGCGTAACATGGATGTAGCTTTGGTGTGAGTGATGGTTGGTGGTTTGAATGAGGGCAGTGTGCTGCCTGCAGGCAGGAGCTGTGGTCTTACAAGGAATGGAGAGAAGGAGAGGGGGAGAAGGAGAGAGGAGAGAAGGTGAGTGTGGGCTGAAGAATGACGCTGTATCCACCCAAGTATAAAGCCCTCTGAATGTATGAATGAACAATGAACAATGGGCTCTGTGTGTGTGTGTGTGTGTGTGTGTGTGTGCGTGCGTGCGTGCGTGCGCGTGTGTTGGAGATACTGTAAGTTTCTGATGTCACGGCTCTCAGTACAGTGCAGTAGCCTACTCACACACACACATTTACAGTAGAGAGCCACGTCATTAGGGAGTGGTAAGAAGCATGATCGAGTGACGCCGGTGTATGTGTATATCTGAGAAACACACTCTGACACACTCTCACAGCCTTAGTCAGGAGAAGTATTTGTATTGCTGGTCCCTACAGAGACAACACACCCTAACCAATCAGACCACTTCATCACACACATGACGTGACCTCACTCCTCACTCACTGTTGTCTTGGCGACCGCTAACCCAGATTGAGGAACTATCCCAGATTGAGGAACTATCCCAGGTCGAGGAATTAGCCCAGGTTGAGGAACTAACCCAGGTTGAGGAACTAACCCAGGTTGAGGAACTAAGCCAGGTTGAGGAATTTATACCAGGTTGAGGAATTTATACCAGGTTGAGGAACTAACCCAGGATGAGGAACTAACCCAGATTGAGGAACTAGCCCAGGTTGAGGTACTGGCCCAGGTTGCGGAACTGGCCCAGGTTGAGAAACTAACCCATGTTGATGAACTAGACCAGGTTGAGTAATTTATACCAGGTTGAGGAACTAACCCAGGATGAGGAACTAGCTCAGGTTGAGGAACTAGCTCAGGTTGAGGTACTAGCCCAGGATGAGGAACTAGCCCAGGTTGAGGAACTAGCCCTCTAGAGGGATAAATGGAACCATATTGCCATGAATCTGATACCAACACCATTGCTTTCACATGTGTGAAGGTGACAAGGGAGTGAGGAATCGGGTCAACTCAATTGCCAAGTGCTTAAGGAACATGAATTTTAACATGAAACAATCTCTCTCTCCCTCTATCTCGCCATCCCCCCCCCCCCCCCCCCCCCCCCCCCCCCCCCTTTCAGAACGCTCTGTCAGAGGTGGTCAGTAAGCTACAGTCGTGTACCCCTCACTTTGTGGAGTGTGTGCGTCCCAACAGCAGTGGCACGGCAGACTGCTTTGACAGTTTCCACGTGTCTACCCAGCTGCAGTATGTAGGGGTGCTGGAGATGGTCCGGATGATCCGCTATGGCTACCCTGTACGCCTGCCCTTCAACGGCTTCCTCACCAGGTAGGTGGCACAATACACTACAGGCTGCTCCTGTTGAACTAGAGTTAGTAGAAAATATATTACAATGATCCATAATGGATTTATCCTGGCCTCCATTTAGGCCCCTATCCTATCCCTTTAGATCTCTAAACAACGGCGATGGGGAAATTGTCTGAAAATCTGTATAAATCTGATAGGTGTAAACAAGATGTTTATGGGTCCACCTTGCCTTGCAATAGGACTTGGGAAGGTTCCACCATATGCTTCCACTTATCCAGTCTTTTCAGATCTGTGAAGACTGAAGGGGTAGAGGCTAGGGGAAAGGGATATGGGCTGAAATGGATCCAGGCCTGTGAGTATGGTGGGTCACTGTGGCCTCTGTGTGATGGGGGGATGGTAGCACCATAGGGAGGATCAAAAAGACTCTGCCTTCTCTCTGCCTTCTCACAGGCCTTTTTTGTTTGTTTTTGTTAACTAGGCAAGTCAGTTAAGAACAAATTCTTATTTACAATGACGGCCTACCCCGGCCAAACCCAGACTACGCTGGGCCAATTGTGTGCCGCCCTATGGGACTCCCAATCACAGCCGGATTGTGATACAGCCTGGAAACGAATCAGGGTCTGAAGTGACGCCTCTAGCACTGAGATGCAGTGCCATAGACCACTGCGCCACTCGGGAGCCCCTTTTATGGCACACGTTTTACTCTTGTTGGGTTCCCCCCCAAACAAGCACACATGCACAAATGCACGCACGCACAAACACAGACACATACAATGGTTAGGTGGAAGTGACCTACTTCGTAGTTCTTCAGGTCTGTGTGACCAGGACAGAAGTACAGTCCATCTTTACATAGAGTCAACATATCTCTCTCTCTCTCTCTCTCTCTCTCTCTCTCTCTCTCTCTCTCTCTCTCTCTCTCTCTCTCTCTCTCTCTCTCTCTCTCTCTCTCTCTCTCTCTCTCTCTCTCTCTCTCTCTCTCTCTCTCTCTCTCTCGCTCTCTTTCTTTCATAGCTAACCGACAGGTCACTGTGATCCTTAATGTAGCAAGCACAAAGTGGTCTCAATCAATAACACTAATCTCATAAAGGATGTCTTGAGGAGATGGGAAATAGTGAGTGTGTGTCAAATAAAATAACATTATATTTGTCACATACACGTGTTTAGCAGATGTTATAATAATAATATGCCATTTAGCAAAGCTTTTGTCCAAAGCGACTTACAGTCATGTGTGCATACATTTTTACGTATGGGTGGTCCCAGGGATCGGACCCACTTCCCTGGTGTTACAAGCGCCATGCTCTACCAATTGAGCTACAGAGGTGCTTGTGAAATGCTTGTGCTTCAAGCTCCGACAGTGCGTTAATATCTAACAAGTAATATCTAACAATTTCACAACATATACCTAATAAAGACAAAACTAGTAAGGAATGGAATTTAAGAAAATATACATACAGTGGGGAGAGCAAGTATTTGATACACTGCCGATTTTGCAGGATTTCCTACTTACAAAGCATGTAGAGGTCTGCCATTTTTATCATAAGTACACTTAAACTGTGAGAGACGGAATCTAAAATTGTTTGATTTTTAAGTAATTAATTAGCATTTTATTGCATGACATAAGTATTTGATACATCAGAAAAGCAGAACTTAATATTTGGTACAGAAACCTTTGTTTGCAATTACAGAGATCATACGTTTCCTATAGGTCTTGACCAGGTTTGCACAAACTGCAGCAGGGATTTTGGCCCACTCCTCCATACAGACCTTCTCCAGATCCTTCATTTTTCGGGGCTGTCGCTGGGCAATACGGACTTTCAGCTCCCTCCAAAGATTTTCTATTGGGTTCAGGTCTGGAGACTGGCTAGGCCACTCCAGGACCTTGAGATGCTTCTTACGGAGCCACTCCTTAGTTGCCCTGGCTGTGTGTTTTGGGTTGTTGTCATGCTGGAAGACCCAGCCACGACCCGTCTTCAATGCTCTTACTGAGGGAAGGAGGTTGTTGGCCAAGATCTCGCGATACATGGCCCCATCCATCCTCCCCTCAATACGGTGCAGTCGTCCTGTCCCCTTTGCAGAAAAGCATCCCCAAAGAATGATGTTTCCACCTCCATGCTTCATGGTTGGGATGGTGTTCTTGGGGTTGTACTCATCCTTCTTCTTCCTCCAAACACGGCGAGTGGAGTTTAGACCAAAAAGCTCTATTTTTGTCTCATCAGGCCACATGACCTTCTCCCATTCCTCCTCTGGATCATCCAGATGGTCATTGGCAAACTTCAGACGGGCCTGGACATGCGCTGGCTTGAGCAGGGGGACCTTGCGTGCGCTGCAGGATTTTAATCCATGATGGCGTAGTGTGTTACTAATGGTTTTCTTTGAGACTGTGGTCCCAGCTCTCTTCAGGTCATTGACCAGGTCCTGCCATGTAGTTCTGGGCTGATCCCTCACCTTCCTCATGATCATTGATGCCCCACGAGTTGAGATCTTGCATGGAGCCCCAGACCGAGGGTGATTGACCGTCATCTTGAACTTCTTCCATTTTCTAATAATTGCGCCAACAGTTGTTACCTTCTCACCAAGCTGCTTGCCTATTGTCCTGTAGCCCATCCCAGCCTTGTGCATGTCTACAATTTTATCCCTGATGTCCTTACACAGCTCTCTGGTCTTGGTCATTGTGGAGAGGTTGGAGTCTGTTTGATTGAGTGTGTGGACAGGTGTCTTTTATACAGGTAACGAGTTCAAACAGGTGCAGTTAATACAGGTAATGAGTGGAGAACAGGAGGGCTTCTTAAAGAAAAACTAACAGGTCTGTGAGAGCCGGAATTCTTACTGGTTGGTAGGTGATCAAATACTTATGTCATGCAATAAAATACAAATTAATTACTTAAAAATCATACAATGTGATTTTCTGGATTTTTGTTTTAGATTCCGTCTCTCACAGTTGAAGTGTACCTATGATAAAAATCACAGACCTCTACATGCTTTGTAAGTAGGAAAACCTGCAAAATCGGCAGTGTATCAAATACTTGTTCTCCCCACTGTATATGGACAAGCAATCACAGAGCGGCATGGACTAAGATACAGTAGAATATCATAGAATAGAATGCAGTATATACATATGAGATGAGTAGTGCAAGATATGTAAACATTATTCAAGTGACTGTAAACATTATTAAAGTGTTCAATTTCTTAAAGTGGCCAGTGATTTAAATAGGCAGCAGCATCCTCTAATGTGCAATTGATGGCTATTTCATAGTCTGATGGCATTGAGATAGAAGCTGTTTTTCATTCTCTCGGTCCCAGCTTTGATGCACCTGTAGTATGATAGCGGGGTAAACAGGCAGTGGCTCGGGTGGTTGATGTCCTTGATGATCTTTTTGGCCTTCCTGTGACATCGGCTGCTGTATGTGTCTTGGAGGGCAGGTAGTTTGCCCCCGATAATGTGTTCGGCAGACCACGCCACCCTCTGGAGAGCCCTGCGGTTGCGGGCGGTGCAGTTGCCGTACCAGGTGGTGATACAGCCCGACAGGATGCTCTCAATTGTGCATCTGTAAAAGTTTGTGTGGGTTTTAGGTGCCAAGCTGAATTTCTTTAGCCTCCTGAGATTGAAGAGGCTCTGTTGCGCCTTCTTCCCACACTGTCTGCGTGGGTGGACCATTTCAGTTTGTCGGTGATGTGTACGCCAAGGAACCTGAAGCTTTCCACCTTCTCCACTGCGGCCCCGTCGATATGGATAGGGGGGTGCACCCACTGCTGTTTCCTGAAGTCCACGATCATCTCCTTTGTTTTGTTGACGTTGAGTGAGAGGTTATTTTCCTGGCACCACATTCCCAGTGCCCTCACCTCCTCCCTGTAGGCGGTCTCGTCATTGTTGGTAATCAAGCCTACTACTGTTGTGTCATCTGCAAACTTGATGATTGAGTTGGAGGCGTGCTTGGCCACGCAGTCATGGGTGAACAGGGAGTACAGGAGGGGGCTTGGCACGCACCCTTGTGGATCAGCGAAGTGGAGATGTTGTTTCTTACCTCCACCACCTGGGGTCAGCCCGTCAGGAAGTCCAGGACCCAGTTGCACAGGGCGGGGTTCAGACCCAGGGCCTCGAGCTTGATGATGAGCTTGGAGAGTACTATGGTGTTGAATGCTGAGCTATAGTCAATGAACAGCATTCTTACATAGGTATTCCTCTTGTCCAGATGGGATAGGGCAGTGTGCAGTGTGATGGTGATTGCATCGTCTGCGGATCTATTGGGGCGGTAAACAAATTGAAGTGGGTCTAGGGTGACAGGTAGGGTAGAGGTGATATGATCCTTGACTAGTCTCTCAAAGCACTTTATGATGACAGAGGTGAGTGCTACAGGGCGATAGTCATTTAGTTCAGTTACCTTTGCTTTCTTGGGTACAGGAACAATGGTGGCCATCTTGAAGCATGTGGGAACAGCAGACTGGGAAAGGGAGAGATTGAATATGTCCATAAACACACCAGCAAGCTGGTCTGCGCATGCTCTGAGGACGTGGCTAGGAATGCCGTCTGGGCCGGCAGCCTTGCGGGGGTTAACATGCTTAAATGTCTTAATCACCTCAGCCACGGAGAAGGAGAGGCCACAGTCCTTGGTAGTGGGCCTCGTCAGTGGCACTGTGTTATCCTCAAAGCTGGCGAAGAAGGTGTTTAGCTTGTCTGGAATTGAGACGTCGGTGTCGGCGACGTGGCTGGTTTTCCTTTTGTAGTCCGTGATTGTCTGTAGACCCTGTCACATACGTCTCGTGTCTGAGCCATTGAATTGCGACTCCACTTTGTGTCTATACTGATGTTTTGCCAGTTTAATTGCCTTGCGGAGTGAGTAGCTACACTATTTGTATTCTGCCAAATTTCCAGTCACCTTGCCATGGTTGAATGCGGTGGTTCGCGCTTTCAGATTGGTGCGAATGCTGCCATCTATCCATGGTTTCTGGTTAGGGTAGGTTTTAATAGTCACTGTGGGCACAACATCACCTATACACTTCCTGAAAAACTCAGTCACCGTTTCAGTGTATTCATCTAAATTATTTTCGGAAGCTACTCGGAACATATCCCAGTCCGCGTGATCAAAACAATCTTGAAGCGTGTATTCCGATTGGTCAGACCAGCGTTGAATAGTCCTTAGCACGGGTATTTCCTGTTTGAGTTTCTGCCTATAGGAAGGGAGAAGCAAAATGGAGTCATGGTCAGATTTGCCGAAAGGAGGGCGAGGGAGGGCCTTATAACAATCCCGGAAGTTCGAATTGCAATGGTCGAGGGTTTTGGCAGCGCGAGTACAACAGTCGATATGTTGGTAGAACTTCGGCAGCCTAGTCCTCAAATTTGCTTTGTTAAAATCCCCGGCTACAATAAATGCAGCCTCAGGATATGTGGTTTCCAGTTTGCATAAAGTGCAGTGAAGTTCTTTGAGGGCCGTCGTGGTATCGGCTTGTGTGTGATGGGTGCAGTGTTAATTTCGTCAACAATAACTACAATGAAAAATTCTCATCAGCTACCTATTTTTCCTATCGAAACCTAATGACGATAACGAGACGAGATGCCTTGAAAAAAACAGTAACTATTACCAATTACATTTAATTTTAGCTGACGAAAATGTGTCAAGACGATGATTCCACGTGAGAGTAATGGACATTAAATTTGACATGGAGCTCATTTTCATCAGTTTTGTCCAATCATACGCATGCATCCCTTTGCAGAATATATAATGCAATCCTCTCATTTGCCGATAACTTCTTTCTGTTGCGCAGGCTAATTGAGTTGATCTGGCTCTCCCACACAGATTCCCAGTCACTTATCTCGGTCTCTCTTTTGAACTGATGCGCAGCCAGGACACTTCAATTGTAACAAACTAACCTCAGTTAGAAACAACAATGTCTTTGATAATCTTTGCTTTCATATAGGTAATTTTTGCTCTGATCACATCAGAAGCTCTATTTTGCCATGTGTGCTGTCTTTTGTTTGGCCCTCTTGCTGTTAGCAATAGCAAGTTGTTGTTGCTTTTTTCCAATTGGAAAAACAAATGCTTTTTGCTGAACATTAGGAGTATAATACTTCTGGCATTGTTGGAAAGCTAATATTCTCCCCCTTTCAAGGAAATCACTGTTATTTACCCCCCTCTGACAGTTATGATGGGGAGAAAATCAGAGCTAAATGGTTTAACCTGCAGGCTTTGTATCCTATAGCCTATGGTTAATTATGGATGGCATTGGTTAACATGTTTCCAGCTAAGGTATACTAGGTGATAGCAGGCCTAGGCTATCTGAATGAGCATCTGATGCAAGAATGCAAACAATGTACTGACTAAAACGTGACTAAAACTAGACTAAAATTGTCCAGTGTTTTCGTCAACTGATAATAACTCAAATTAACGAAGGATGAAATTACTAAAATGTGACTAAGACTAAAATATATTTTAAGACTAAAACTAAATCTAAAATAGCTGCCAAAATGAACACTGGATGGGTGCAAGCCTGCTGTACCTGTTAAATACACATCACCATCTCCCAAATGTCACCCTGACACACAGACCCTGACACACACACACATACACGTGCAAGTCTGTAACATGTCAGAGTAACTTCTGAAGAGGTTCATAGTGTCCTCCACTAAACTTGATCATTATTTCTCTCTTTTGTTCTTCCTTTTATCTGAAATCCCCTTCATTCCTTCTATAACACCTAATCTCTCCGTTATTACTGGGTATTCCTGTCTGTTTCTTGGATATACTGTACATGTATTTTAGTCTTTGTGATAGAGGGAGAGAGTTTTTCTTCCTTATGGTTGAGCTCCCTTCATCTCTCTTTGTCTCTCTCATTCACGCCTCTCTCTCTCTCTTTCTGTCCCCCATGTCTCTCTCTCTCCCCTCTCCATCCTCTCCCCATCTCTCCCTCACCATATCAATTCAATTCAATTCAAAGGGCTTTATTGTCATGGGAAACATATGTTTACATTGCTAAAGCACGTGAAATAGACAAGAAATGAAAGGGAAATAAGCAAGGGAAATAAACAATAAAAAATTAACAGTAAACTTTACACTCACAGAAATGTTAAAAGAATATAGACATTTCAAATGTTATATTATTGGCAATGTTGTGACAATGTGCAAATAGTTGAAGTATGAAAGGGAAAATAAATAAACAGATAAATATAGGTTTTATTTACAATGGGGTTTGTGCTCCACTGGTTGCCCTTTTCTCGTGGCAACAGGTCACACATCTTGCTGCTGTGGTGGTACACTGTGATATTTCACCTAATAGAGGGAGTTTATCAAGATTGGATTTGTTTTCAAATTCTTTGTGGATCTGTGTAATCTGAGGGAAATATGTGCCTCTGATATGTTCATACAGTTGGCAGGGGTTTAGGAAGTGCATCTCGGTTTCCACCTCATTTTGTGGGCAGTGGGCACATAGCCTGTCTTATCTTGAGAGCCAGGTTTGCCGATGGCAGCCTCTCTCGATAGCAAGGCCATGCTCACTGAGTCTGTACATAGTCAAAGCTTTCCTTAAGTTTGGGTCAGGTATTCTGCCACTGTGTACTCTTTGTTCAGGGCCAAATAACATTCCAGTTTGCTCTGGTTTTGTGTTGATTCTTTCCAATGGGTCAAGTAATTATCTTTTTGTTTTCTCATGATTAGGTTGGGTCTAATTGTGTTTCTGTCCTGGGGCTCTGTGGGGTCTGTTTGTGTTTGTGAGCAGAGTCCCCGTACCAGCTGGCAGAGGACTCTTCTCCAGGTCCATCTCTCTGTAGGTGAGGGCTTTGTTATGGAAGGTTTGAGAATCACTTATTTTTAGGTGGATGTAGAATGTAATTTCTCTTTTCTGGATTTTGATAATTAGCAGGAATCGTCCTAATTCTGCTCAAATAATTCATGCATTATTTGGTGTTTTATATTGTACACGGAGGATGTTTTTGCAGAATTCTGCATGCAGAGTCTCAATTTGGTGTTTGTCCCATTTTGTGAATTCTTGGTTGGTGAATGGACCGCAGACCTCACAACCATAAAGGGCAATGGGTTCTATAACTGATTCAAGTATTTTAAGCCAGATCCTAATTGGGATGTCAAATGTTATGTTCCTTTTGATGGTGTAGAAGGCCCTTCTTGCCTTGTTTCTCAGATCATCCACAGCTTTGTGGAAGTTACCTATGCTGCTGATGTTTAGGCAGAGGTAGGTATAGTTTTTTGTGTGCTCTATGGCAGTGTCTATGTGGAATTTGTATTTATGGTCCTGGCAACTGGACCTTTTTTGGAACACCATTATTTTTTGTCTTACTGAGATTAATTGTTAGGGCCCAAGTCTGACATAATCTGTGCAGAAGATCTAGGTGCATATCACTCTCTGTCTCTCCCACTCTCTCTCCCTCTCTCTCTCCCTCTCTCGCTCTCTCTCTCTGAGGATAAAGGGATTACCGAGTACATTCCTGCCAGATAATGAGAGAGGACACACACACACACTGGTCACATGACCTCTCAAAAATTTCCACTACCCCTGACGGAGTAAACACCATTGTGCTCTCAGAAGTCCTGCCAGGACACACTTAAACGCTCACACACACAATCCATGCACACACACACACTCACGCACACACTCACACACACACTCTCTCTCTCATGCATGCAGAAACACATACACACACACACTTCACACCCTGTCTAAAGTAATAACATTGTACGCAGACACACACACACATTTCCCCCTGGTGTCTAATGGTGGAATGTTAGTCTTTGATGATAGACTAGGTTTTCCTCTTAAAACCGTGTAATGCTGACTAGCTAATGGTTACTGCCAGATTAACTAAGTATGTTATTACTTATAACTAAGTGTCTTATTGTTAGCTCATTGTTATAAACAACGTAATGCTAATAACATATTTAAACACTCCAGTCACGCTGAGTTGACGGACAACTGAAAGAAAGGATGCAGAGAACGGCTGGTTGATTGGATGAACAGTGAATGGATATGGATGGTGGGATAATAGACAGATCTGTATGCAGCCAGTCTCTACTCTGTACCACCACAGTTGTTTTGATGGAGGTCCATTGTAGAATCTAATCTGTTGTTGGCAGAGCTGTAATTGAATGATGCCTGATCGGTGTGTGTGTGTCGTTTGTGTTGTACTGGTGTGTGTAAAGAGGGGTGTGACTGTATGAAGAGCAGTGGGTGTAGGGAGACATGGGATACAAAGTGGTGTGTTGCTTGGGGGAGGGGGGTGATTGGGTGTATGGTCGACAGTTAGGTTAGCATCACAAAGGGGTGCCAGCCCCCCGGTGAAGTTGGGTTGTCTGGCGCTGGGGTGTCTGTTTCTGTACGTCTGAGTCTGTGTGTTGGTGTCCGGCGTTGGTGGTTGGTCAGACTGATTGTGATGGTAATATACTAGCCATTGGCTGCTTGTCTGAGCGCCAGGCCAATTTGCATGACTTTTGTAGAGTTTGGCTCTGAATAAACTGTTTGCTCTGTATGTTAATCATCATTCTCAATCACTCCGTTTGTGTGTGTGTGTGTGTGTGTGTGTGTGTGTGTGTGTGCTGTGCATTTGCTCATATGTGCGTGTGTGTGCATGTATATTCATGCTTGTCTGGGTTTTCAGTCTCTTGTGTATGTCTGTTTGTTTATCCCTGTGAAGATATGTACAGTGGGGTCTGAAATAATTGACACCCTTGATAAAGACTGAGATGGCCACTGCAAAATGTTGATTTTGTGTCCAATTAACCATTTCGTTGTGGATTTTGATGTGTGCTTGGAGTTATTGTCTTACTGGAAGATCCACTTGCGGCCAAGTTTCAGCCTCCTGGCAGAAGCAACCAGGTGTTTGGCTAAAATATCCTGGTACTGGGTAAAGTTCATGATGCCATTGACCTTAACAATGGCCCCAGGGGCCTCCCAAGTGGCGCAGTGGTCTAAGGCACTGCATCACAGTGCTAGAGGTGTCACTACAGACCAGGGTTTGATCCCAGGCTGTGTCGCAGCCGGTCGCGACCGGGAGACCCATGAGACGGCGCACAATTGGCCCAGCGTCGGCCAGGTTAGGGGAGGGTTCGGCCGGCCGGGATGTCCTTGTCCCATCGTGCTCTAGGGCCGGGCGCATGCACGCTGACTCATGTCAGCAGTTGTATAGCGTTTCCTCCGAAACATTGGTGTGGCTGGCTTCCGGGTTAAGCGAGCAGTGCGTCAAGAAGCTTGGCAGGGTCGTGTTTTGGAGGACGCATGGCTCTCGACCTTCGCCTCTCCCGAGTCCATACGGGAGTTGCAGCGATGGGACAAGACTGTAACTACGAAATGGGGAGAAAAAGGGGTAAAAAGTATAAAAACTAAAAAAAAATATGGCACCAGGACCAGTGGAAGCCAAATATCCCCATAACATAAAGGATCCACCAGCATATTTTACAGTAGGTATGGGGTTCTTTCTGCTCGTCCTCATTTCGACCCCAAACCCACCCCTGGTGTCCTGTTTGGAACCCAGGAAGAGTAGCTGCTAATGGGGATCCCAATAAATACTAATACTGGTGTGTGTGGCTAAAGAGCTCTATTTTCATGTCATCCAACAAATGTAAACGTCTGGAGTTTGATAAATGGCATTGCAACTTCGATAGGAACCGGTGCTTTGGTCAGATTACACAAAAATAGAGCTATTTGGCCACGCACACCAATGGTGGGTTTGGGGTCGAAATGAGAATGCATAAGCAGAAAAGAACCCCATACATACTATAAAATATAGTGGTGGATCCTTTATGTTATGGGGATATTTTGCTTCCACTGGTCTTGGGGATCTTGTTAAGGTCAATGGCATCATTAACTTTACCCAGTACCAGGACTTTTTGGCCAAAAACCTGGTTGCCTCTGCCAGGAGGCTGAAACTTGGCCGCTAGTAGATCTTCCAGCAAGACAACCCCAAGCACACATCAAAATCCACAAAGAAAAGGTTAATTGGCCACAAAATCAAGTATTTAGTTGGACAGTGAAGCTAAAACGTTTAATTTGGCTCTATACTCCAGTATTTGGGATTTGAGATCAAATGTTTTATATAATGTGACAGCACAGAATGTCACCTTTTATTTTAGGGTATTTTCATACATATCTGTTTTACCGTTTAGAAATGAATGGACTTTATTTATCTAGTCCCCCCATTTGAAAGTATTTGGACAAATTCACTTGGAAAAGACAGAATAAAGTCTGCAGTAACCTAGGAGACTTTAGGACCTGATTTGGAAGCTCCTCTATTCCTGTTACTTGTTGCTTTTTGAGCATGTTTTGTGCCTGTTTAGCCATGTGTGTGTGTGTGTGTGTGTGTGTGTGTGTGTGTGTGTGTGTGTGTGTGTGTGTGTATGTGTGCATGCGTGCAGCCGTGCATGTTTTTGTGTGTCTTTGTCTTTGCGCACGTGTGTGTTTATACTCCAAGGCCATGTTCACTTAAACATAGAAAGAGGAGCTGCCTATCACAGAGTCCATTCACCCTGGCCTGTGCCATTCATTTATCTCTCTCTCTCTCTCTCTCTCTCTCTCTCTCTCTCTCTCTCTCTCTCTCTCTCTCTCTCTCTCTCTCTCTCTCTCTCTCTCTCTCTCTCTCTCTCTCTCTCTCTCTCTCTCTCTCTCTCATCTCTCTCTCTCTCTCTCTCTCTCTCTCTCTCTCTCTCTCTCTCTCTCTCTCTCTCTCTCTCTCTCTCTCTCTCTCTCATTATTCAATTTCTTTATTGCTCTGAATATAAATGTTATTTTGCCTATTTCTCTTTTCTGTCTGGATATCATATAGATGGTGGACAATCTAATCCTGCTATTGACTGAATGTCTGTCTCTTACCACATGAATACTGTTGTGAATGGAGTTTGGCCGTTTTAAATGGTGTACATTGTGAAATAAAATAAGCATGTTTTTTTCAAATATCTTGTTGATTGATGACCAATCAAGGGCATTGTGCATGACTTCAACAGAAGAACCATATGCTTGGGTTGTTTGCTTAAGAATGTTTCCCAGTAAATATTTAGCTATCCTTCTGATCATGCATGCAGATTAATTTTATTTTTTACATATATGAGTTATTTGAGACGACTATGATAAGCAGTTGTCTAGCTGCACCCCTAGTAGTTTGGTTTCTGCCACTTCCTCAATTTGTACTCCCCCATACTTAATTGCATCCCATGCTGTGTTGGCCTTTTCCTGGTGGAACAGACCAACATAACCTTGGTTTTCTTGGTGTTTAAAACAAGTTTGTACCGGCAAACCCACTCCCTGTTATTTCCCAGATCTACCTGTAGAGCTTGCTGTACCTGTTGAAACGATTGTCTTGCTGTATAAATTGTAGTATAATCTGCAAATATAGTAGCTTGAGTTTCAGATAAGGCATAAGGAAGGTGGTTGGTATATATTAAGTAAAGAAGTGGCCCAAGGCAGCTGCCCTGTGGTATTCCACAGTTTAAAGCATGAGGGGAAGAAAACAACCCATTGATATAGGTGGACTGTTTCCTGTCAGTTAGATATGACTGTACCCAATTCAATGCTGCCTCCGTAAACCCATAATGCAATAATTTTGTCTAAATTATTTAATGGTCCATTAAATCAAATGCTGCACTAAAATCTAAAAATTGTACATCCACAAACCTGCCATTATCCATAGCATTGAGCCACTGGTCAGTCATGTCAACCAATGCAGTGGTAGTGGAATGTTTTTTGCGATAAGCATGCTGATTGGCTGTGATCAGATCATTATTTTCCATGTACTCAATATGTGTCTACTTACAATACCCTCCAATATCTTACTGAGTGAAGGGAGTAGACTAATTGGTCGACTGTTGGCAGGAGTAATGGGTTCTTTGCTGTCTTTCGGGATTGAACACAGTTTAGCATGCTTCCATACATTTGGAAAGGTCCCCTTTTCCAGTGACCAATTAAATATGTATTTCAGTGGAGCTGCAATCTGGGGAGCAGCATAGCAAAGTAAAAAATTATCCATAAGATCATAACCTGTAGATTTACCATTGGGTAATGACTTCAATAGGTTTAATACCTCTTCTACTGACACCATTTGTAAACTAAAAGAGTAATAATATGATCATCAATCCATTGAACAATAGCTTGTTTGGAAGAATGGGTGTTTACATTATCGCTCAGTAAATTTGTTTTCTTTGTAAATAAAATCAGCAAAATGATTGGCAATATCAGTTGGTTTTGTTATTGTTCTCCAGTCAACCTCCACACTAGATGGGCATGATGAGACAGTAAGCCCTTAACTGTATTCCATACCTTTTTTGAATAATTTTTTACAATCAATAAAAGCATTTTTTTAAATTAAATTATTTTCTTGCGATTTAATTTAACTGCATAATTGTGTCGTGTTCTATAATTAGATTTGGCAGCTAAGACTTTTGCCATATTTATTTCAGAAAATGCCTCACCCAGTTCATCATCAATCCATGGAGATGGACGTGCCCCAACTGTACTCTTTCTTACTGGGGCATGATGGTCCATTACCTCAGTGAGCAAATCAATAAAACATTCTGTAGCGTGATTTAAATCATCCTCTAGATAAATCAGCTCCCAGGGTACAGCAGTCAAATCATTTTGAAATAGCTCATGAAGAAATGTTTTAACATTTCTCTTGACCACAATCCTTGGGGGTTTCTTTGGAACCTTGGTGTTCATGGTTATGGTCACAATGTTATGGTCTGTCCAGCCCACTAGCATTGTCTGGATGTCGGGGTGGACTACAATGCAGACTTCAGAGATCTCTCTCATTCTTCCCCTCAGCTTCTCTCTCTCTCAATCAATTCAATTTAATCAATTTAAGGGCTTTATTGGCATGGGAAACGTATGTTAACATTGCCAAAGCAAGTGAAGTAGATAGTAAACAAAAGTGAAATAAACAATAAATATTAACAGTAAACATTACACTCAGAAGTTTCAAAAGAATAAAGACATTTCAAATGTCATATTATGTATATATACAGTGTTGTAACAATGTGCAAATAGTTAAAGTACAAATGGGAAAATAAATAAACATAAATATGGGTTGTATTTACAATAGTGTTTGTTCTTCACTGGTTGCGCTTTTCTTGTGGCAACAGGTCACAAATCTTGCAGCTGTGATGGCACACTGTGGTTTTTCACCCAGTAGATAAGGGAGTTTATCAAAATTGGGTTTGTTTTCTAATTCTTTGTGGATCGCTGTAATCTGAGGGAAATATGTGTCTCTAATATGGTCATACATTTGGCAGGAGGTTAGGAAGTGCAGCTCAGTTTCCACCTCATTTTGTGGGCAGTGTGCACTCTCTCTCTCTCTCTCTCTCTCTCTCTCCTCTCTCTCTCTCTCTCTCTCTCTCTCTCTCTCTCTCTCTCTCTCTCTCTCTCTCTCTCTCTCTCTCTCTCTCTGTCTCAGTTTTTCTCTATCAGTGTTTTTCTCTAATCTCTTTCTCTCTCACTCTCTCTCATCCTCTCCTCTCCTCTCACTCATTCTCAGTTTTTCTGTCTTTCCACTGCCTTTCTCCCTCTCCCTCTCTTCTTTGCGCCATCTCTCCCTCACCCTGGCCCTTCTTTAATCAAGATGACAAGCTTATAAATCAATCGTTGATCCTGAGGCCAACATGCCGTCACACACACACACACACACACACACACACACACACACACACACACACACACAAACACACAAACAAACGCACACACTTACACACATTCTTCTTCTGAGTCATGCAGGTCACACCACTAAGTCGCGGTGTTCGCCAGGGGCCAATTGCATTAGACTAGACTGCTCAGCTGTAGTGATATATGACTAAATCTATTTTATTGTTGCTTTTATTTGTCATTTATGATAAAGTATGTGTTTTGTGGACAGATTTCTATTCCAGAACTGTGTAAGGTCAGGAAATATCACTTGAACTTTGCACTTTGCACTTGTAAACCCTCCCCGTTTCATGGATGTCTGTTGTTTTGCTTTCTGAGATGTTTTTTGCAAGCAAACACTTCCTCAGGTCAGGAGTTAGTTATTGGAATGTGGAAGTAAAATTAGTATTATTGGATTTACTTTAGTCAAGCTGTACCTATTCTTCTAAGGTTTCTGGTTGAAACCAAAATCAGAACATAGCGCTATTGTCCGTTTTGCGTAATCGGTGACCAATATCATTAAATTCCAACTGAACTCACTGTGGATGAAGAACTATTGCCTAGTAAGCAAAGCCTGTAAGCTACACTGATGTCATGTGAAGTGTCATGTGATTAATGTGATTATGGCTTTAGAGAGGAAGAGAGTGAGTTAGAGTCCAGAAATCACCATCCTGATTTTATTGGTTTTGTGACAGTCAGTATTTGGGGGCCGCTGATGGGCCCTTGGTCACATAGGGGCCCCCTCAGCCCCACTCGGCCCGATGTTTAAACTCTTATCAGAGGTGCTATTTCACTTTGTTGACTCCATTCAACACGGTCCCCCTGGGTCTTGTAAAATGTAGGACCATCAATAGTTTTCATATTCTTACAGGAGAGGTTGTGAGTTTACAGAGTGCTGTTGTGTTTTATGGGTCCTCGGGGACACCGTAGCGCTGTCTGTGGGCCTGGACATTAGCTTACAGAGAGAGGGTTAGGCAGAGTTCAGAGAGAACCCACTTCTCTAAATCAAACACACACTGAAATATACACACCAACACACACACACACACACACACACACACACACACACACACACACACACACACACACACACACACACACACACACACATAAACACAGTAGAGATGTGTACACAGCAGGTTTGTCTTGACAGAACCTCTCCAGACTACTCTAAACCGCCCTATGCCACTCATACAACCCCCCCCCCCCCCCCACACACACACACACACACCATTAACAACACAAGTGGTTTATATCTCTGACCATCTGCTCATTAGGTTTGCCTCATTTAACAGGGACGCTCTGTGACATCATTACACAGGGACAGTCTGTCTGTCAGACTGTCAGTCTGTCTGTGTGTCTGTCTGTGCACTCTGGATGTCTCAGTACTTCAGATCACACAGAGAAGTCAGACGAACAAAGAATTGTAATTGGATAAAGACTCCTGTTAACTTGTCATTAGACCTTAGGGCCTACACTAATATATAGCACCCACATGGAAAATGTGCTCTGGGTAGAAGTCAACCTTAACCACTGATCTAGGATCAGCTGAGCTTACCTTCACTACATCTTAACTTTAGGGGAGAAAGTGCAAAACTGACCTAAGAGCAGTGTACTACCTGACTCCAAACAATGCACATCAGCTGTTTATTGCTAGAATGATCACCACACATCTGTTGAGTATTGGTATGCACGCCCTTTTCTGTGGTGTTTTCCAATGACATAAGGCCCCACAAATTATTCAACCCACAAGTTATTTCCATAAAATGTCCATCATTATTCAAGCCAATGTTGATATATGTTATTCATGTTGTTAAAGTTGTCCAGACATCTCTTACCAGCGTTCACTCCACCCAAACACAAAGGATCAAAGACTGTCTCAAACCACACAATGAAGCTGACCCTCTGTCCCTCTCCTCTTCTACCAAAACCACCCCTCCCCCTCTTCCAACTGACCTCTTATATCAGCAGTAGCCCCTGGCAACACCAATAGGAACAGATGCTGTGGGGCTGGCCCGCCTTTTGACCCCCATTGACCTATGAACCCTCTTGTTTGTGAATGGACGGGTCATCCGATATGCGCCACCAGAACCATATAGAGTTTCTGGGCCTCACAAACTGCCTGAATTAGGGCTCGTTTTGAACCACAAATCTAGGATCAGATTTCCCCGGCTCCAATCCTAGCCTTACTATAAATGGGATTATGGAAATGACTGTCCTTACGGAAAAATCACATTATTTTACATGTGAAATTTAAACATGTAAAATTGAATTTCACAGGTGAAATCATGTGAAACCATGTGGTTTTGGAACACCTCATATGAGATAATTATTTCATTTGATGCCCTGCAAACAAAAATTAGTTGTTAGGATGTCCCTGGAACATCATACATATTTGACACACATGATTACATTGTTTATGTTTATTTATACAGTAATTATTATTCAACATTTCCTCACCTGGGATTTGAACTCAAAACCTCTTGGTTCACGGCATTCTGATCTTCCTGCTACTCTGATCAATAACTGATTTCACCTGTATTCCTATACTTTGGACTTCAAAGTAAATATCAGCTTTGTTAAAAATACACTCAAGAAAAACTATTATATTTGTCATAGTGATTCAGGAGTAATATGAAAACAGAATAATACAAAAAAAACTAAAATTGCAGAAATAAGTAAATGAAATCAATGATGAGAGAAAAGTCAGATTAACTGATAACTAAAATAGCAGTGCAGATGGCACTCTTTTGCTAAATGCAGAGATGTATTATAAGTAATGACTATGTACTTCTGAGAATGTTACAGACTTTGTGGTGCAGCAGAAAGATCAGCTTACGCCTAAATATTGAGGTTGTGAGTTCAAATCCCAGGTGGGGTCATATTGAAAAGGCAGCACTAAGTAATCATGTTGATTAAAGATGTTTACACTATTTTGGCTGAACAGCGTACCACTTACCTTAAAACCCCCATACCATTTCAAATTTGACAAACTTTCACATCTAACTCTCATATGTAGAATTGCGTTTTCACGTGAAAAACATTCACATGTGAAAATCGGATTTGCATTAACACATGAATAACTTTCACATGTGAAAATCTAACTCTCAGTTTTATGTTGTCACATGTTATCACATTAACTTCACATAAGATCACATGTGATCACAACAAAATTAGTGTTTTTTCTGTTAGGGTGGCCGGAGACTTACAGCCTACTTCTCACAAACACAAAGGCCGTGTCACACTGAAATCCTTCCCCTCCAGATGTTATGGATGCATTGATCCGATGTAATAAGATGTGTACTTCCTGTGTGCTGATGGTTTCTCTATTGTGTGTGTCACAGGTACAGAGACCTAGTGGACACCACTCTAGCTGACAACAAGAAGCTGTCCTCGGAGGAGAAATGTCGCTTTGTTCTGCAGCAGTGCAAACTCCAAGGATGGCAGGTGCATACTGGTGTCACGTGCATACTGAGTCAGAAGTCGACACGCCAGAGAGAGAAGAGAGCTAGAGATCGTGAGAGGAGAAGTCGAATCTCGACTGCTCAGAGCGATGAGAGATGATCTACTCTCGATATATCTTCTCGCTGCTATATACTAAGATTCTATATCTCATAGATCGCATCTCGCCTATATCTATCTTATCTCTCTCTATATCGCTCCGCTTCGCGCTCTCTCTCTCTCTCTCTCTCTCGTATCTCTCTCTCTCTCTCTCTCTTCTCTACTATCCTGTCTTTCACATTTCTCTCTATCCCACACTCTCTGCTCAAACACATAGTATGGGAAGATAAATAATTTGAGCCCAGAATGAAATACTTTGAAATCCCATGGACTCCTCATTAAATCCTATTACAGCTGCCCCGCAACCAACCCCACTAGCCTTCACACACACACACAAACTAGAGTCCTGCATGGGTAAGTTTTTTGGAGCCGCACCCGGCCACATCAATTCCAAGCCCCACCCGATACCCGACATCAGGATAGATTTTTCTCCACAACCCGTCACACCCGCATGGAATTGTTCTAAGAGCCAATCTGTTACCAGCCATATGACAAACATCAATTTATTTAATTGTTTTCATGATTCCTGAGTAGTAGGCTATGTTTCCCCTTCCCTGCATGAATTAATTTGTCTGCATGTCTATTCAACATTTGGATAAAAGTAAACCATGCCATGAATTAAGAACAATAGGCTATCTTTTTTATTTTCACAATGCAATGCGTCACATTGACAACTTAAATCGCTTTAAGAAAAATAGCCTTCCAATTAGCCTTCTTACCTAATGAAAGCATATAGGCGACATAACACAACAATATCTTTACATTCAATATTATTTAGATAATCATAAAGTTCAATTTAAATGAACAATTCCCAGAATTGAATATAGGCTGCAAAAATAGGCTACTTTTATTTAGTAGCATATAGGCCTACTCAAACTTTAACCAGCCGCACCGGTTTACACTTTATATGGCCTGCTATGGTCTAAATGAACGAAAGCCTGAATAACGTAGGCTAATAATTAACTGATAATTAACTAAATTACATATCATAAATAAATACCTGCTTGCACTTTTTGCAGGCTGTGTATCCATCTACTGTCTTGTTGTCCTTCCAAACCGGGGATTTTCCAATAAATGGTATAGCCTATTCCCCCATCATAACCTCTCTTTTGATTTCTCTAGTTAGGCCTACATTAGCCATTTTGACGTGAGGTAGGCTAGCCAGGGAAAGTAAACTTGGCTATGTGTCGTTGCCTATTCTCACACGGGGGGAGGGAACATAAGCTCTCCACGTGGACAATTAGAATGTTTCAAGACACACAAATAATGGACAGTTTCCTGCTCCACACTCTCTCAACGCGTGTGTGGCTAGTAGCCTTGCCGCTCACAGAATGGAATTTGCAACACAACAAGCTCCTCGGTTTGTAAAAAGTGTAGGCCCTGTTATCTTGTTTTAAAACATTTCAAGCTGACCCGCGGTTTAAAATAATGTTTTCATTCCACCCGCCATCTGATTTTTTTTGCGGGTGACCCACGGGGAACAGTGGGTATCCGAACGGATGGAGGACTCTAACACACACACACACCAATAAGCAGTCTGGACCGGCCAATGGCATCTCCCCCCTCCATTCCCTGTGTGTGTGACCTCTTTGGGTCATGGTGGCTCCGGTTCACACACACACAAACGCACACGTTCTCTCACAATGCCTCCCAGACACTTTCTCACTCGTACCCAGGCCAGACCCACACACAAACATTTCTGAGAAGTGGTGAGTATAGGAATGAATAGTCTGGGTGTGTTGGAGCATGTCGGCCCCTTGGCCTGTGCACCTGTCGGGACACATGGATAACTACAACAAACGTAATTAATCCTGGAACTGACTGAACCCCAACCCTCTGTCTGTCTGTCTGTCTGTCTGTCTGTCTGTCTGTCTGTCTGTCTGTCTGTCTCTCTCTCTCTCTCTCTCTCTCTCTCTCTCTCTCTCTCTGTCTGTCTCTCTTTCGCTCACTCTCTCTCTCTCGCTGTGTCTGTCTGTCTCTCTCTCTCTCTCTCTTCTCTCTTCTTCTCTCCTGTCTGTCTGTCTCTCTCTCTCTCTCCTTCTCTCTCTCTCTATCTTCTCTCTCTCTCTCTCTCTCTCTCTCTGGCTCTCTGGTCTTTCTTTCTGTCTCTCTCTCTCTCTCTCTCTCTCTCTCTCTCTCTCTCTCTCTCTCTCTCTCCTCTCTCTCTCTCTCTCTCTCTCTCTGTCTCAGATGAGCAGTAGAAAGGTATTTCTGAGGTACTGGCAGGCTGACCATCTCAACGACCGCTGCCACCAACTACACAGGAAGATCATCACCTGCCAGAAAGGTACAACACAACTTGTATCCCTGTGTGTGTGTGTGTGTGTGTGTGTGTACATGTGCGTATGTATTATTAACCCCTCTCTCCCCCTATCCTCTGTCAGTGATCCGTGGTTGGCTTGCCAAGCAGCGTGTGCGTCGTAGACTGTCATCCCAACAGACGGAGGACTGCAGTGTCCAGAGGTTCCTCCAGGGGGCAGAAGACCAGGGCTTGCACACCTACGACCACCTGGTCATCCAGAACGCCTCCAACATCACCCGCAAAAGCGACCACCAGTGCTGCCATGGCAATGGGTCACACGGCAACAGCCCACCCCTTGGGGAGAGGCCTGAGCCAGTTGGGAAAGAGGGGGACACACCCAAGAGGTAGGAGACCAACCCTTTCGCCCCTTGTAGAGAAGTTGCTTGTGGTGGTTTTGTGTTTCTTCATTGGTTTGAAGCTAATTGTATAATAATATAATATGCCATTTAGCAGATGCTTTTATCCAAAGCGACTTACAGACATGTGCGCATACATTTTTAAGTATGGGTGGTCCCGGGGATCGAACCCACTACCCTGGCGTTACAAGCGCCATGCTCTACCAATTGAGCTACAGAGGACCACTCTAATTGTATCATGTAATATAATGATTTAGACTATGTTCTGTAGCTGTTGCATCAATGTAAGTAATTCCAAACCTTCACAGACACTGTAAGGATTTCAAGGTCACAAGGTGTGTGTGTGTGCGTGCGTGCATGTGTGTGTTAAATGTGTGTCTATGTGCCTGTGTGTGTGTACAATGTGTGTGTCATGTGATGTGAGTAATGGTGTCATTGAGCCTGTGCTGGCTGGTGGCTTTAATTGCATATGATGATTGATAGTAGGATAATGAGATAAACCATCAGCATGTGGTAATGTTTCAACTCTGTCGCCGTGACGACATTCTGGCCTCCTTGCATTATACAGCTTTTAGTTGGCATGGCAACCATCGTTTAAAGCTTGGTGGCCATTTTCTTAAGTCTAGGCACTAGGGAAGGAGAGAGGCTGTCATTTTAGAATATATTCCTGTATTCCTTCTGAACATGGTAATAAGACAGAGATAAGCCTCCAATTGGCCTGTCTGATTGTGTTTGAAAATACAATTTAACACTGAGGTGTACATCCTGCAGAAAGAGGAAGGAAACACAGACACAACTGGTAACCCCCCCTTTCAGGCATCATTTTCTCTCTCACTCATTCTGTCATCATCAGTATTACATTTACATTTTAGCAGACAGTCTTATCCGTAGCAACTTACAGTAGTGAGTTCATACATTTTCATATTTTTTGTACTGGTCCCCCGTGGGAATCAAACCCACAACCCTGGCGCTTGCAGCGCCATGCTCTACCAACTGAGCTACATGGGACCCCTGTGGGAGTATCAGGGGTGAACAGGTGAGGGAGGGATGGTATGTGGAGAGGAGGAAGGGGGTTATGGGGAGAGAAGGTGTGGGGGAAGGGGGGTATGGTGGGGAGGGGAGGGGTGGGGGGTTCGCTGGGATCCCTGTGGGAGTGTCCCATGCCAGATTACTACGCTACTCCCACTTTTACCAAAGTCGGTAACCTCTTCAGACATACACACACAGACAGACAGACCCCCCCACCCCCACATGGTCCAGAGGGACCAACAGATGGCTTCCTCCAGATTATAGAAGGAAATATCAAACTCCAGAGTGAATATCATATCAAATCGAATCAAATCAAATCAAATTTTATTGGTCACATGCGCCGAATACAACAGGTGCAGACATTACAGTGAAATGCTTACTTACAGCCCTTAACCAACAGTGCATTTATTTTTAACAAAGAAAGTAAAAATAAAACAACAACAAAAAAAGTGTTGAGAAAAAAAGAGCAGAAGTAAAATAAAATAACAATAGGGAGGCTATATATACAGGGGGGTACCGGTGCAGAGTCAATGTGCGGGGGCACCGGCTAGTTGAGGTAGTTGAAGTAATATGTACATGTGGGTAGAGTTAAAGTGACTATGCATAAATAATTAACAGAGTAGCAGCACCGTAAAAAGGATGGGGTGGGGGGGGCAGTGCAAATAGTCCGGGTAGCCATGATTAGCTGTTCAGGAGTCTTATGGCTTGGGGGTAGAAGCTGTTGAGAAGTCTTTTGGACCTAGACTTGGCACTCCGGTACCGCTTGCCGTGCGGTTAGCAGAGAGAAACAGTCTATGACTAGGGTGGCTGGAGTCTTTGACAATTTTGAGGGCCTTCCTCTGACACCGCCTGGTATAGAGGTCCTGGATGGTAGGAAGCTTGGCCCCAGTGATGTACTGGGCCGTACGCACTACCCTCTGTAGTGCCTTGCGGTCGGAGGCCAAGCAGTTGCCATACCAGGCGGTGATGCAACCAGTCAGGATGCTCTCGATGGTGCAGCTGTAGAATTTTTTGAGAATCTGAGGACCCATGCCAAATCTTTTCTGTCTCCTGAGGGGGAATAGGCTTTGTCGTGCCCTCTTCACGACTGTCTTGGTGTGTTTGGACCATGATAGTTCGTTGGTGATGTGGAAACCAAGGAACTTGAAGCTCTCAACCTGTTCCACTACAGCCCCGTCGATGAGAATGGGGGCGTGCTCAGTCCTCTTTTTTTTCCTGTAGTCCACGATCATCTCCTTTGTCTTGGTCACGTTGAGGGAGAGGTTGTTGTCCTGGCACCACACGGCCAGGTCTCTGACCTCCTCCCTATAGGCTGTCTCATCGTTGTCGGTGATCAGGCCTACCACTGTTGTGTCGTCGGCAAACTTAATGATGGTGTTGGAGTCGTGCCTGGCCATGCAGTCATGGGTGAACAGAGAGTACAGGAGGGGACTGAGCACGCACCCCTGAGGGGCCCCCGTGTTGAGGATCAGTGTGGCTGATGTGTTGTTACCTACCCTTACCACCTGGGGGCGGCCCGTCAGGAAGTCCAGGATCCAGTTGCAGAGGGAGGTGTTTAGTCCCAGGATCCTTAGCTTAGTGATGAGCTTAGAGGGCACTATGGTGTTGAATGCTGAGCTGTAGTCAATGAATAGCATTCTCACGTAGGTGTTCCTCTTGTCCAGGTGGGAAAGGTCAGTGTGGAGTGCAATAGAGATTGCATCATCTGTGGATCTGTTGGGGCGGTATGCAAATTGGAGTGGGTCTAGGGTTTCTGGGATAATGCTGTTGATGTGAGCCATGACCAGCCTTTCAAAGCACTTCATGGCTACAGACGTCAGTGCTACGGGTCGGTAGTCATTTAGGCAGGTTATCTTAGAGTCATTGGGCACGGGGACTATGGTGGTCTGCTTGAAACATGTTGGTATTACAGACTCAGTCAGGGACATGTTGAAAATGTCAGTGAAGACACTTGCCAGTTGGTCAGCACATGCTCGGAGTACACGTCCTGGTAATCCGTCTGGCCCTGCGGCCTTGTGAATGTTGACCTGCTTAAAAGTCTTACTCACATCGGCTACGGAGAGCGTGATCACATAGTCATCCGGAACAGCTGGTGCTCTCATGCATGCTTCAGTGTTGCTTGCCTCGAAGCGAGCATAGAAGTGGTTTAGCTCGTCTGGTAGGCTTGTGTCACTGGGCAGCTCGCGGCTGTGCTTCCCTTTGTAGTCTGTAATAGTTTTCAAGCCCTGCCACATCCGACGAGCGTCAGAGCCAGTGTAGTACGATTCAATCTTAGTCCTGTATTGACTCTTTGCCTGTTTGATGGTTCGTCGGAGGGCATAGCGGGATTTCTTATAAGCGTCCGGGTTAGAGTCCCGTTCCTTGAAAGCGGCAGCTCTACCCTTTAGCTCAGTGCAGATGTTTCCTGTAATCCATGGCTTCTGGTTGGGGTATGTACGTACGGTCACTGTGGGGACGACATCATCGATGCACTTATTGATGAAGCCAGTGACTGATGTGGTGTACTCCTCAATGCTGTCTGAAGAATCCTGGAACATGTTCCAGTCTGTGCTAGCAAAACAGTCCTGTAGCTTAGCATCTGCGTCATCTGACCACTTTTTTATTAACCGAGTCACTGGTGCTTCCTGCTTTAGTTTTTGCTTATAAGCAGGAATCAGGAGGATAGAGTTATGGTCAGATTTGCCAAATGGAGGGCGAGGGAGAGCTTTGTATGCGTCTCTGTGTGTGGAGTAAAGGTGGTCTAGAGTTTTTTTTCCTCTGGTTGCACATTTAACATGCTGGTAGAAATTAGGTAGAACGGATTTAAGTTTCCCTGCATTAAAGTCCCCGGCCACTAGGAGCGCTGCATCTGGATGAGCGTTTTCCTGTTGATTTATGGCCTTGTACAACTCATTCAGTGCAATCTTAATGCCAGCATTGGTTTGTGGTGTTAAATAGATAGCTATGAAAAATATAGATGAAAACTCTCTTGGTAAATAGTGTGGTCTACAGCTTATCATAAGATACTCTACCTCAGGCGAGCAAAACCTCGAGACTTCCTTAGTATTTGATTTTGTGCACCAGCTGTTGTTTACAAATATACACAGACCGCCACCCCTTGTCTTACCGGAGTCAGCCGTTCTATCCTGCCGATGTAGCGTATAGCCCGCTAGCTGTATGTTATCCATGTCGTCATTCAGCCACGACTCGGTGAAACATAAGATATTACAGTTTTTAATGTCCCGTTGGTAGGATAACCGTAATCTTAGGTCATCCAATTTGTTATCCAATGATTGAAGATTGGCTAATAGGATTGATGGAAGAGGCAGTTTACTCGCTCGCCGTCGGATCCTTACAAGGCACCCCGATCTACGTCCACGATATCTCCGTCTCTTCCTCACGCGAATGACGGGGATTTGGGCCTTGTCGGGTATCTGTATGATATCCTTCGCGGCCGCCTCGTTGAAGAAAAAATCTTCGTCCAATATTACAGCATGTAATGTTTGGTTGGAACCAGGATCAAACATCACCAGAAGGTGTGTTGGTCCATGGTGAGGGGAAGGAGAGAGAGGAGGAGAGATATAATGAGATGGGATGGAAAGAAAGAGAGGAAGAGAGAGAAATTGAGCAATAGAGGGAAAGAAAGCAATGGTGTTGAAAATTGAAAATTTGTTCATTTATGTTCATTTATTTATCATGTGGATATGATTTCCTGCTCCCCTCCAATAGGGTTGTGGAGAAGAGCGGGAGAAACCAAGATGGCTCGGTTAGTGGGGGGAGCCGGACTACCGGCCACTTCCGCTCCAGCTCGGTGCCCATCCCCCTGGCTATGGAGAACTTGGTACATTCCAGCCCTGGCCCATCCATCAAAACAGCCCTGCAGCAGGCGGTCTATAACACTGAGGACGGGGGAGGAGGTGGGGGCCTGGCGTCGCCACGGAAACAACCTCCCCCCAAACCCAAGCGGGACCCCAACACTCGTCTGAGTGCGTCGTACGAGGCGGTCAGTGCCGGACTGACCCTGGGACCCTCGAGAGAGAGTCCCACCCCCGAGAACTATGGGTCGCCTGCAGGGAGCCCCCCCAAAACACAGCTGTCACCTACGGATGGTAAACAAAATTCTAACATACTTCTCAACTATCATTACCTCAGCCTTTATGTACCCCAAAACACAGCTGTCACCTACGGATGGTAAACACAATTCTGACATACTTCTCAACTATTATTACCTCAGCCTTTATGTACCCCAAAACACAGCTGTCACCTACTGATGGTACATATACACACTCCAACAGCCCAACTCATATAATCTAAACTTCTTTGAACCTCAAAACACAGCTGTCACCTACTGATGGTACATATACACACTCCAACAGCCCAACTCATATAATCTAAGCTTCTTTGAACCCCAAAACACAGCTGTCAGTGTGACTGTTGTGAACTGTTTCTCCTCTCATCTCTCCCCAGCTCTGTCCAAGCCGCGGCCCCACAGTGATGACTACACCACCATGAGGAAGGTGCCTCCTCCCAAGCCCAAGAGGAGCCCAAACACCAAGCTCACAGGCTCCTACGAAGAGATCAACGCTGCCGGCATTAACCTCCTCCAGCTGCGCCCTGCCGATGTCAAACTGGCCCTGCTGTCCCGCGCTGGGGGTCTGGGGGGTCTGGGGGGGTTGATGCAACGCACAGCGTCTGTGGATGGCCCACAGGGGGTGACACTGAGCCTGTACCATGATGAGGAGGATGTGTACATAGAGATGGTGGGGGCTCATGCCAGGAGTTACAGTCTGGGAGGGGGCCACCAGGACCCCCCCGACAGCCCCCAGCAGGGAGATGCCGAGGCCGTCTACGAGGAGATGAAGTACTTCCTGCCCGAGGAGGTGGGACTTCCGGTGGGACTTCCTGTGGGAGGCGCGGTTGCCGTGGCGACGGCCGCTGGGAATCTGGAGGTGTTAGGGTTGATGTTAGGAGGGTTAGGGTTGGGCTTGTCTCCCCCTCAGAGTGGGGAGGGGAAGAGGTCAGCGTTGGGGGGTGTAGCCACCACTATGGAGGCCCAAACATCAGCCACCGGAGGGGCCAGCAATATCCCTGCACCCTTCCCCAACCTGCTCCCACACCGCCCCCCTCTCCTGGTGTTCCCCCCCTCCCCCGTCACCTGCTCCCCTGCGTCTGACGAGTCGCCCCTCACCCCGCTGGAGGTGAAGAAGCTGCCTGTGTTTGAGACCAACCTGAACTACGTCGGCCCAGACAGCCCCCTCTCCCCCCAGTACTCCCGCCAGCGCGCTGACTCCTCCCCCTCTCTCTCCCTCCTCCTCCCAGACAAGCCCACTCCTCCTCTCACCCCTCCTCCTCCTCTCCCCAACGCCCTGCCTCCCCCCTACCGCCCACCCTCCCACTTCCCTTTCCCCCCAGAGTCCAGCATCCTCTCCCTTACCCGGGCTGCTTCCGTCACGGGCGGTGGCAGCTCGGACTCTCCCAAACCCTCCTACTCCTCCTCCTCTTCCTCCTCTTCTCATAGGGCAGGAGGGGAAAAGCCCCCTCCCTACTCTCCGGCCAAGTCCACCCGTCCAGAGCCACGCCGCGCCCACTCCTGCTCCTCCTCGCCCCTGCTGTTCAACCCAGCCAACGGGAGACCCCTGACCAGCCCTCAGCCAGCCCTGGACGAGCTCAACACACTGTTCAGCTCCGGACGCAGCCTGCTCAAGAAGACCACTACAGGACGCAAGATGAGGGAGGGAGGTGAGTCAGAATGTAACACACACACACTCTCAAGCTCTTTCCATTGCTTCTCACACTTCTCCTGAGCCTAAAAGGTAGCTACATAACGTAGAGCGTATCCCAACAGTTCTTTAACAGCGAGAAGCTCTCCCCGTCCCTCTCTCCTCTCTGCTTTCCCGGCGTTAACCTTTGTTTTTCATTGAAGGTGCTCCATCAGTCAGATTTATGAGGCAGCATTGGGCCGACCCTGACCACGCCTGGACACTGCCCCACCGTAGGGAAGGGAGAAAGGGGGAGGCAGACAGATTTCCTCTACCTCTCTATGTAATCACTCACACACTGTCTCATACTCCTCCTGACCCTCCCCCCCGGCCTATACACACACACATACACATCTGACCCAGAACACCCCAGAACCATGTGTGTGTGTGTATGTGTGTAAAGGCAACAGAGCAATCCCTCTCAAATAGGGGGCAGAACAGAAGTGTTGATAGGTTGGCACCTCCCCGAACCCCATCCCATTCCCCTGGGACCGCCCCTTTTTGCCACCCTCCATTTTGAAATGAGTACAATGTGTTCGTACTTTGCCTATAACTGCAGTGATTTAAAGAGACAATTTTACAAAACAAATGTATGTTCAAACTCTTCCCTTCAACACTAAATATGATATGATTTATGAACACAAGCCATAACTGTTAGATCATTAAGAAACATTAGACTCTTTCTCATTGTTAACACTCTGGACACAGGAATACACTCACTACTGTAGTCACTCCTCACACAATGAAGGGGGAGATGACTTGAGGACAGAATACAGTGTAGTAGAGATATCCTTCTTTAATCTAAATAAGTAATTGAGGACTTGAAGAATGGCACTAACTCTACTTATGAGATATCCCCCAGAATGCTTTGGGCCTTAGAACCCAGATAGAAACAGAAACACACAGGCTGACGTGTCACTTCTTTCCCGCTCAATGTCACATACATAGAAATAGAATGAACCATCAAGGCAAATTGACCTGAATGGGGATGCCTGTTATAGTTATTATTTCTCTGTGGTCATGTGATTACTTCCGGTAGTGGTCTACATTAGGGCCCTAACCCTTCATCTGTCCAGTGAAACCCCTGGCGTCATGGAAACAGTCTGCATGCAAGAGGAGGCTGGTAGTCAGGGTCTTGACCCCTGTGTTATTTTGAGGAGTGATGGCGGGGGATCTGAGAACGGGAGATGCCGCTGGGCTTAACGGGACAGCCTGCTTCCGTTCCCTCCCCTGCGCTAAACAGTTATCTGTGATACCCGACGCTCCGGGGTGGCCCCAGGGATTAGGGGAAGTATCCCAGCCATGCCTGTGACAAGCAGCTGTTTCCCCCCTGCCTGCTCCTCCTGGGAGATATAGGAACGCTGCAGGAATGCCATGGGGAAAGGGCAGGTGGCGACGGGGCATTCCCAAAGAATCTTCTGTCTCAGGAGAAACATTCCCTTCGATTTATGCACACACTTACACACAATTAAACAAACACATACCACTCTTTCATTTAACTTTTCACTCACACACCTCTCTCTCTCTCTCTCTCTCTCTCTCTCTCTCTCTCTCTCTCTCTCTCTCTCCTCATCCCCTACACACACACACACACACACACACACACACACACACACACACACACACACACACACACACACACAGTGGCACCTGTTTTGTGGGAGAATTCTGGTGGTTATATTTAGTCCTCTTGTGACCAGGAGTCAGGCATTCCCAATATGGGTTGGCAGAATTCCCATCACACAACACATACAGACACACAAACACACACAACACACATACACACGACAAACACACACACATTCTGTCTGAGAGGGTCCTCTGAGCTGGTGGGCCTGGTAGGGGGGCAGTTGATTCTGGATTATCGTCCCAGGATTCTGGGATGCAGAAGAGGCATGGGCTTTTGGGGGGCTTTAGACTAGACTAGACTTACAGTTTAATATTAAACATCCAATTAAATGCATGGAAACAAACCAATGGCAGTAAAATTGTAATGTGCATGCATGCGTGTGTATGTGTGTGTGTGTGTGTGTGTGTGTGTGTGTGTGTGTGTGTGCGCGTGTCTCCTCCCAGGGTTCAACTCCAACATCAACCTGCCAGGTAGAGAGGAGCACCCAGGCTCCACCCCCACCTCCTCGTCTCCGCAGCTACAGGACAAGAACGCCAACAACCACGCCCCCCCCTCCCCAAGCCCCACCCCCATTGAGAACGGCAACCGGCTGTCCAACGGTAAGCGCCGATGGAGGGGTTGGGGTCATGGTGGGGTCAGGTGAAGCGGTGAACGGTAGGGGGTAAAGAGGAGGAGGAGAAGAGAAGAGAGGAGAACGATCCCAATAATTCCTTTGGTTCCTCCTCGTCTCCTCTCCTCTCCCTCATGATCACTGAGGGGTGATACCAATATGACTTCTGTCACCTACATTAGCCAGCAAGGTCACATTGGTGAACCCACAGGGACATAAAGGGGACACTTTAAGACTATTGGGACACGACCACCGGTCTTTTTCAGGATGTGTAGTAGCGTACTAAATCACATAGATCTTATGTTATTGCATATTGCTTCTATCACATATGGGCCATATCTGGCCTCTCAGACTGGTGATAACCATGAAGAGGAGATGAGGAGAGGAATCTGTTAAAAATACTATTGGAATATGACCCGGGGGATTGAGGGGTGTATAAGGTAAGAGACCATAGACATATAGGATATGATGAGTAGGAGGTCTAGGCCATACTAGACACTAACTCTGGAGTTATGAGTGTGATGAAGCCACCAGCCCACCTGGAGTCTGTAATGGAGGGAGGATGAAGGGAGAATGAAGGGAGGATGGAGGGAGGATGGAGGGAGGATGAAGGGAGGATGAAGGGAGGATGGAGGGAGGATGAAGGGAGGATGGAGGGAGGATGGAGGGAGGATGGGGAGGCTGGGGGGCTTGAGGGCTTGAAGGTCTCCGGATGGGCTTTGGCTTCTGGATCCGGGCGGCTTGCGTGTGAAGGCGAGTTCGGAGGTTGCGGTCGGATGCGGGTAAGGTCGGGTGGGGTTCTGCTGGCGTCGGCTGTCTGGTTTTTCGGCGCGTCCTGATACTCTTGAGCTTCCTCCTTTTACGCTTGACGATGTTAGAAGGAGCGGGCGACCAGAGAGAGCAGCGAGAAGGAGAGAGACAGAGAGAGAGAGAGAGAGAGAGAGGATGGAGAGAGAGAGATGGAGAAGAGAGAGGGAGAAGAGAGATCGAGAGAGAGCGGGAGAGAGAAGAGAGAGAGAGAGAGAGAGAGAGAGAGAGAGAGAGAACCGATTGCCCTTTATGGTTGTGAGGTCTGGGGTCCGCTCACCAACCAGGAATTCACTAAATGAGACAAACACCAAAAACATCCTCTGTGTACAATGTAAAACACCAAATAATGCATGCAGAGCAGAATTAGGACGATACCCGCTAATGATCAAAATCCAGAAAAGAGCAATTAAATTCTACAACCACCTAAAAATAAGTGATTCTCAAACCTTCCATAACAAAGCCATCACCTACAGAGAGATTAACCTGGTGAAGAGTCCCCTAAGCAAGCTGGTCCTGGGGCTCTGTTCACAAACACAAACAGACCCCATAGAGCCCCAGGACAGCAACACAATTAGACACAACCAAATCATGAGAAAACAAAAAGACAATGACTTGACACATTTGAAAGAATTAACAAAAAAACGGAGCAAACTAGAATGCTATTTGGCCCTAAACAGAGAGCACACAGTGACAGAGTACCTGACCACTGTGACTGACCCAAAATTAAGGAAAGCTTTCACTATGTACAGACTCAGACTCAGTGAGCATAGCCTTGCTATTGAGAGAGGCCGCCGTAGGCAGACCTTGCTCTCAAGAGATGCTATGTGCACACTGCCCACAAAATTAGGTGGAAACTGAGCTGCACTTCCTAACCTCCTGCCAAATGTATGACCATATTAGAGACACATATTTCCCTCAGATTACACAGACCCACAAAACATTTGAAAACTAATTCAATTTTGATAAACTCCCATATCTATTAGGTGAAATACCAAAGTGTGCCATCACAACAGCAAGATGTGTGACCTTTTGTCACAAGAAAAGGGCAACCAGTGAAGAACAAACACCATTGTAACACCCTTTTGTACTTTAAATATTTGCACATCGTTACAAAACTGTATATAGCCATAATATGACATTTGAAATGTCTCTATTCCTTTGGAACTTTTGTGAGTGTAATGTTTACTGTTTATTTTTGAATGTTTATTTAACTTTGGTTTATTATCAATTTCACTTGCTTTGGCAATGTAAACATGTTTCCCATGCCAATAAAGCCCTTTGAATTTAAATTGAGTGAGTGAGTGAGTGAGTGAGTGAGTGAGTGAGTGAGTGAGTGAGTGAGTGAGTGAGTGAGTGAGTGAGTGAGTGAGTGAGTGAGTGAGTGAGTGAGTGAGTGAGTGAGTGAGTGAGTGAGTGAGTGAGTGAGTGAGTGAGTGAGTGAGTGAGTGAGTGAGTGAGTGAGTGAGTGATTGAGTGAGTGAGTGAGTGAGAAAAGGCAGGAGGGAGAGGGGTGGGAGGAGAGATAGAGTGGATGCTGGGAGATGAAGAATGAGAGACAGACAGACAGACAAAGATGAAGGGAGGAGATAGATACAAGAGAGTAGACAGGAGGTATTAAATGGGTTGACCCAGAAGCTGAGAGTGATTCAGTATTACAGTGTAAGTCTAGAGTGACAGAGTACTTTCCTCCCCTCCACTGTAAGGCTGTTTCCTTCCTCAGGCAGTCTGTTTATCCATCTCTCCACTTCTGTCTTACATAGTGGCTCCACTGGCTGATGGCGTTCTCTCCTGTGTGTGTGTGTGTGTGTGTGTGTGTGTTTTACGTTTGTTTGTGTGTGTGTGTGTACTTGTTGTCTGTTCAGGGTCAATGGAAGATGAGGGTCACACCAAGTCAAACTCTTCCAGCTCATCGTCTCTGCACAGGCATATGGACAGCCATCACACTCAGGTAAGCACACACACACACTTACAGGCGCAAACACACTGTTTGTGAGACTGAGGTTCTCCTCCTTACTGTATTGGTGGTTACAGTAGCCCTGGCCCTTCTGTTGTGTAACCTTATTTAGGATTTACTCTCTGTGAATATGCTGGCATTACAGCACTGCCCTTTCATTGTGGAGAGTGAAACTGACCTGCCTGCCCCACACACACACACTCACACTTGGGATGTGTGTCAGGCCCGCTTGTCTGTTTTGGGTGTTGTTGTTTTCCAGTAAGAGTAACAGTAGCAGTATCCTAGTTCCCCTAGGATCAAGGTCACATAACCAAGCGGAAACCATGAAGCGCCTTGACAGTTGATAAACACACACACACCCACACACACCTGCGCTGTGAGACTTAATAATTCAAGTAGGGCATGAAATATTCACTGAGACAGAATCAATCCTACTGCGAGAGACGATCGCAACACCAATAACACCTAGGCAGTAAACAAGACACAACCTTACTCCCTGACACCAGATCCTGGACTAACTCTCTTTTCTACCACTACAACTATCCCAAACCAGTTCTCTTAACAAACACACACACACACACACACACACACACACACACACACACACACACACACACACACACACACACACACACACACACACACACACACATACACACACACACACACACACACACACACACACACACACACACACCACTACTACCACCACCACAAACTAGTGGAGGATACATGTATTTTTCCTGACAATGTAAACCTGACCAGGACCCAGAGAGTTTCCTGGTCAGGTTACATGTTCAGGAGGGAAGACTCCTGGCTCCACATAACCCACATCACTGTAACTGTCCTCTCTGACTGACTTCTCACATAGCCAAGGTCAAATCCATAGGCTGATGTAGAGTAGGAATCAAGTCATAATGACAAGATTTCAATTTAATATAATGGACATCAGTTAAAACCGACCAATATTTCATCTTTCCTCCGGTTTACCCTGACATTGTCTGCCTCAACCTTTCCTCAACCTGTCCTCAACCTGTACTCAACCTGTCCTCAACCTGTCCTCAACCTGTCCTCAACCTGTCCTCAACCTGTTCTCAACCTGTCCTCAACCTGTCCTCAACCTGTTCTCAATCTGTTCTCAACCTGTCCTCAACCTGTCCTCAACCTGTCCTCAACCTGTTCTCAATCTGTTCTCAACCTGTCCTCAACCTGTCCTCAACCTGTTCTCAACCTGTCCTCAATGTGTCCTCATCAGGAGATTCCAGGATGCAACCACTCCCCATAATCCACATTGTTAAAACACAGGGAAAATCATTCTACATAATTATTGATTGGATCTGATAGGGATTAAAATGCGAGTTAAGATTAGGTGCACATAGCTAGGAAGCGAACAAGAATATTCCTAGCGGCATTCCGAACGGCTCAGGGCACAGTATTCCCATGAGATTCCCTGGAATGCTGAGGAGGCACACGATGTTCCCGTTCCCTGTGATAGCTAATGGAGTATGGGCTCTATCCATTATAGAGATACACACAGAGTGATTGCTCCTGAAAAGGCTGGAAGATGCCCCCTGTCTTGTGTGAGAGAGGGATGCGAGTTTTGTATGACTGAGAGAGACAGGGGCATCACTGACTAGATCTATGGAGCTCCTTAGTGTGTAGTGTAAAAGATTGATGTTCCAGCACATTCTGTTAAAGCAGCTGTTGAAACAATAACAAGGCATAATCCCCGCCCCTGTTTTGGTAAAAAGCTTAGGGATGGGCTGGAAAAACGTAACCACTCTATAATTCATGGAAAGAGCTATGGATGCAAGGACTGACCATCCATGATATCAAAATTATACTTTTAACCATGTTTTGAGGTTTTATAGTGTTTGTTTACATTTACTTTGTTTATAAACATTGGAGTAAAACAAGCTTATATTTACAAGTTATATTCTTCAAGAATCAATGTGTACATGTCCAAAAATGGATGTGGCAACTGCAGATTGCCCTTTTAGTTATTCTTACTCTGGCTTAAAACAGCTCCTGACAGAGTAGCACTCTCTAGACGGGTTCATTCTGGAAGTACTCTCTTTCACTCTCTAAGCTACTCTCTGGTGTCTCTAAACATGTATTCTTTCCTTCTCTGAACATTGAATGTCTCCCTAACATGGTGTCATGTGGAACATGCATTCCCTTTTTTATGACTGGAATATGCCATGGTACAAATCCACGGAAGCATTCCATGACACCGGCATGTGATAGTCAAAGAACACGGTATGCATTC